GACCTTGTAGATGGCGATGTCGGGGAGATGGGTGACTGCTCGGTGGTGGAGTTGCTGGTGGAGCAAGCTGAGGCCAGTGCCATTGGACCACGCTTTCTGCTATTTATGATTGTTTGGATATCCCATGTTCGTTTTGCAACTGAATGGCCGATGTGCCTCTGGGTAATTACGTAGTTATAGTTCATGCATCTCCGCATGTGGGGGTAAAATGCGAAAGGCGGGCAATCTGAAGAGGTAGAAGCTTGCTGGGCCAAGGCTGCAAACATCGTAGTTCTCAACAAGACGGACTTGGCCAGCAAGGCCCGGATGGTCCGATCTCTTTCAGACAGAAGAGCAGTTCTTCCACCCTCCAAGGTCCTCGTGCAAGAGTCTGTTTCTGATTGAATGTCGCTGTACAGGAGCAAGTGGAGGCTACCAGAGCAGTGGTGAAGGCAATCAACAAGAAGGCGTCATCATCACGCAACCTGGCCACGCGACCCATGGACATTCATAACCTTTATATACAGCAAATGATTCCTTTGCTGCAACTGACTATGGATGGCTTTCCGGCATGGCCACTTCTGTACAAAAAATGAGGGAATGGTTTGTCCAAGACTTCACTATGCCTTCAATGACAGGCGACCGTTCTGGAGACCAGCTACAGCAAGGTGGCTTTGGACACGGTGCTTGGCGAGGTGCCTCCGGGGCAGCACAGCAGCATTCCGTTTTCCCATTGTTCGCGCACATGCTATCCCATGAGGATACAATTTTCTTATTCTTGTCCAACATCAGGACCACCAAGGTGGCTTAGAGCACACTCAAACTCCCCTGTCCCAAATATGGCCATTTCGGTGAATGACATGACATCATGGGGTGTTTGGACACATGGCTCTGCTGGGTGGGAAGAGAAACCGCCTAGTCGACTTGGCAGGTTGGTCATGCCAAACATGAGCATGGTGGGCACGAGCATGGAGGCCACGAGGCACCTCAGCCTCAGTCTGGAAGTGGCTAAAGTCTGAAGCCCTCTGATCAGACCATGAACCAGGTATGTGGCCAAAAAGGCTAAGGATATTCAGCAGTTGAAAGATCCTCAGTGGATCCAAGTTGATTTGAAAGTAGGTCTTAGCGGCTTGCCCTTCAAGCAGCCAAGCAAGACGGCAGATGGCTGTTGTGTGTTTTGCGACTTGCCTGATTGAGAGCGCCGAGGAACATGGTCATGACGGTGGTCACAGCCATGCCAGTGATTGCAACGATCCTGAATGCACAGATGAAAGTCATGGTCATGGACACAGCCACAGCCACGCAGAAGATTGCAGCGACCCCAACTGCAGCGACGCAAGCCATGGCCACAGCCACAGCCACGCGGAAGACTGTAACTCAGCTGTGCTATTTTCTTTGTTTTACTTCGACGCTCTAGCCCTAGCGGTTTACAGACCCATGGTGACCCAGCAGATTTCCTGCCAAAATCTGTCAAGCACCAAGCAGGTGATGACCCCAATTGCACTGACCCTAGCCATGGTCGGAGACCCAGAACTTCTTCATTGGTGGCAAGTGCATGCTGCAGGTCCATTGTTGCGGTTGGAAGTGGTCCTGTAGGAATTCAGGTGGTGAGCTTGTGGAAGCATATTCATGGTTTGACGTTTGAATCAGTGTGTGAGAAGAATCTGCATTTCAACTCGCGGCGGTGTATTCGTGCCAGATCCGCAACGCGGATCCTTGCGAACAGCATGACTGAGGCCACAGCCACAGCCACGGTGGCAAGACAACTGCAGAGGAGATCTCGCTTGGGAAGGTCCCCAACCCTCATGGGCTTAGCTAGATCTGCTGCTTGCAATGCACATGCGCCATCGTCCTGTAGGGAAGCGATCTGCATGTCACATGTCATCATGTAGTGCTGTAGCATGCCCTTCCAACCCTTCAGTGTCGCCATTGCAAGAGTAGGCTTCATGGTAGGAAAGTAGATTGGTTAGCAGGAAGTTGTTGTACCCGCGCGGTGCCTCAGGGAGGCCGAGACGTCGATGATTGCATGCTAGCTGCTTGAGAAGAAAAATAAGCAAGCATCTTCCGGCAGTGCTTGAAAGCGTTCAGTGCGAACGCACCTCAACAACTCTGCGTCCAGGAGCGTTTCGGCATCGCCTCCTTCACATACTCCGCGCGGCGACCCTTCAGCGAGAAGCGCTTCACTGAGGCGAGAGAGCCAAGAGATGATGGGTAGACTCTGCAACTCATAAACCCGTGCTTGTAGAGCCACATGGTCTTCCGGGGGTGTATTTTCCACTTCGATGTATATATGCATACTGGGTCCTGGGGCCAGGCTTTGAAGAAGTGGCCTGTGCCGAAGCACTCGGATTTGCAGCTAATGCTGGGAGATGCAGATCCTGATACCGACCATCCAATGCACTCTGGCTTGTGTTTTGAAGATGAAGGCTAAAGGCTGAACCAGGACTAGCAAGAAAAGAAGGAAGCCTGAGCGTCCAGGTAGTCTTCCTTTTTGAAGCATTTTTTTTGCTTGGGATCATTGCTAAGGGCAACAGTGATCCGCTCCAAAGGCTTCTGTTGGTTGGAGCAAGAGCCATCCACCAGGATATACTGGAGCCATGTCGCTTGGCAAGTGTTGAGACTCAGGGATCACTTTCATTCACTTTCCCAATCAACCTTTTGAATGATCGAGCCATATCCAAAGTCAGCAGCAACCGTGAATGCAGAAGGGGTTTTAGCTGTGACCAAGGCCGGAAAGGACATGAAGCTGTCCTATTCCGGCGTTTGGTGGGGAGCCATGACGGAGCAACAGGCATGATGAGTGAGCACGTGGACGGGCCCGGCCTCTGTTGTTTGCGCCATCTTGCATGGATGGGCCAACTTGCATGCATCTCCCTTGTGCGTGAACAGGATGCCTGTCTTGGGGAACAGCGACCGCAGGTTCAACAATGCAGTTGCTGTCAATCCACCCCTTGATCATACCAACCTTTCACATCCTTTCACCTCCATTTATGGGAAAAGGCCATGTTTGTGATACTGTAGGTTATCCTCAAAAATTGGGGTCACGCAGGTTCCAGGTAACTCCATGTTGACATCGTCCGTTCGCCAGGTGAAAATCATGGAGCGCTTGAGCCCTGGCGAGTACGAGCGCTCCCAACGGGAGGACGGAGGCTTGAGCTGCGCTCACCGAGCGTAGCTGACAATCTGAAGTGGCTGAAAAGATGGACCCGGCCAGTTCCCAATGACTTTGCCCCTGGTGATGGATGGTGATGGTGATGGTGATGGTGATGGTGCTGGTGGTGGTGGTGGTGCTGGTGGTGGTGGTGGTGGTGGTGATGGTGGTGGTGATGATGATGATGATGATGAGGTCGCGGTGGAGGCAGCCAAAGGCACATCTTGTCGTGCAGCCTCCGACCCATAAGTCCTCACAGAATCCCGGCTGCCACAGCTGATTTCGGGGACAGGAGTGGGATGATGAATGTGGAGACCGACGGCAAGAGCTTGTCTTCATTGGCCAAAGGCTGCAAGAAGCACCTCGGTCAACCATCTCGGGTGTCCAAGGGTAGTGGTGTTTGCACTAGGATGGACAGTAGTTTCCTTTGGAGATTGCAGAGAGGGAATTGGAAGCTTCTTGGGCCAGATCTGTTTTTCATCCGTTCTTTTGACCGTGCGGCGAATTATGTCCGTGATGTCGCAGTGCCATGCGGGCGCTGTCGTTGCGTTTGCGCAGCTACGTCTACACACCTCTTTACGCACTCACATCCGCAGATGTACCTCTCTACCTCCACACAGCCACACATCGGCGCATCTATATCACACCTGCGCATCCACACTGTCACTCCTTCACATCCGCCCTCTCTTTCTCTCTTTCTACGCATCTTTTCTCTTGGTTTTTTAAATCTACTGTAATTTCTTCGCAACTTCTTACTCAATAACAGATTGTATAAAGAAGTCATGGCTCTTGGACACCTTGATTTTAGTTATTTCATGACCCGACAGTGCTGGACAATCACCTGTCTCGCTCTCGGGCCAACCGTCGTCTAGTTTTACCAGGAAGCTATCCGCGCTTTGTTGGATGAGTGCCTCTTGACTGACAAAGAGATGAAGGCATACAAGAAGCGGCAGGAGGCCGGTCTCTTTGTGAGAGTTTGGACTGCAGTTGCTGTTGATGTGAGGTGAGGACACCACAGGATGAAGCTCCTCATGGCAGTTATGTGCAAAGTACACATATACAACTCATTACCACTCAGTATTGTATATCTACATATATCTACTATATTCTACTATTGTTGTGCTTGACGTGACATGGAGGTTTCTACATTTTGTAGCAGGAATATCGGACACCGGGCGCCATGATCATGCTCAGTTACATCAAGTGTCTCCACAAACTTTCCTGAACAAGCTCGACCGTACTAGAAGACCACTGGCATCGGGCAAAATACGCAAAAAATACAGCGATGCTGCCAATTGAAGCGATTGATAATCAAGATCCCTGGCAGGGGGCTCAGGGCGAGTGGGGTGAGGAGATGTACCAAGCTGCAGCCAGCCCGGTGTAGGCTGCTTGGCACGGGCTCTCGGGGGTGCAGCTGGTGGAGTCATGGCAGAGCGATCAAGATAGCGATTTAATAGCTCCTAGTAGCGTTCTTGCTCCTAGTAGCGATGCTCCTAGTAGCGATGCGTTTGCTCCTAGCAAACCATCCTGCATGACTGAACTTTCTGCGCTGTAACTCTTTGCCTCGAGTGGAGGGCCTGTCCAGCCAAGGAATGCCGTCCTTTTTGTGGGCCAAGTGCTTTGGACACAACCTGTGTCAGGCTGGCGTGCAACGTTTCGCGCTTAGTGGGGGCCTCGTTTGTCTCGTATTGCTTGGTGGCAGAGGACCCTAAGCAAGAGACCGTTCCAACATGCGAGCTGCATGTTTTGCCAAGAGACCAAATCAGAATGGCCGTCGGAAAGCTGGATAGCACTGAGTGCTTGGAAGCAGCGGGTACTGCGCTGGAGATGCTTGTTGTGAACTCCATGCGCAAACCAGTTTTTGTTGTACATGATACATATATATATAGATATTAGCTTGGGCAATTTGGGCTCAAGTGCTGTGACTGACTCTTGCCCGCGCTCGAACTCCTCATTGAACTGGGTGTGGGAGCCCAGATGTGCATGTTGGACTCTTTGGGCCCTGCTGTTTTACTTTAAATACTGTGGTTTCAGAGTCGATGGCACAAACCCCAAAAGGTTTTTTAGATGGGGGTCCGTATAAACCACCGACTTTGGGGAGTGTGCCATCTACTCTGAAACCACTGCTGACACATTTGCAATGAGTCGCTTCCATTTTGGCCTCTGGCAACCTTGTGTGATGGACTCATGCACTCGCAATTTCAGCCAAACTTGCCCAAAATTTCGTCTTTCGGCTTAACACCTTTGGAGGCTGTCACAGCTATGGACGCTGCTCGTGAGTACTTGGAGGTCCGGGAAAGCAAACGCCGCACGGCGGTTGATTTGTCACCCCTACATCCTTGCATGTAAACAGCTCTTGACTGGAACGACGGGTGACGAAAAGATTAAGGAGTCCTTTTACTTTCTTGACCAAATTGTTCCTGTGATGATTTCATGGTGGACTTGTTTTTTCATTTTCCCGTGATTGATAGTTTCCACAAAATGTCGATCATTGCGAGACTCCAGAGGGCAAGACAATGCCAACTTCGACTCAAGGGCAAGTAGACATGTGTTAGCGTAGGACTTTGGCTCCGGGGCATATCATTCCCTCGTTGGTTGTTTCAAGAGCCACAACATCTGATGCAACATTTGCCGGGTCGGAAGAATATCAGAGGGCATTTGGAGCCCACATGAGAAGGTGGCATTTGGACCCCATTCTTGACCCATAAGCAGAGCGGAGCCATTCTCGACCACCCCCCTGATCCCAGCCTTGGAGACCTCAAGACAACCCTCAAGATCGAGACTCCCTCTCCACGAAACCATCAAGCACCGCAGGAGAAAATAGATGAACATAGCAATCGGAGGAGACCAACGACACTTCCCCATTTTCAGCCTAGTAGTTATATATATATATATACATACACTGTAAATTTGCCAAGGCGGTGAAGAAGTAATCGAAGTATGTCGCGTATTATGTCTCGTTTGGTCGCAATGGCTTGGCTGCTGGTGGCTGTGGATGCCAACTTGGAGGAGCGAGTGGCCACCTTAGAGGCAGAGATCGGGAGCTTGAGCAACGAGCTGCAGGCGAAGAGGGAGGAGCTGGCAGATGGGGCGGATGGATGGATCCACATGGGGCGGATGGATCCGCTTGGGATTGTATGCGTGCGCTTTGCAAGTCCATAAGTGTGCTTAAGCCGTGAAATTGTTCTTGCCTCCCAGATATCTTAAACATGCAAGTCCAACCGTGCAAGTTTGTGCATCTTGTGCACAAGCTTTGGGGCTTTCGAGTTCAGACGTTGCCATTCATTATAAAGTCACAACCTGATTCAGACGAGCCCCACAACCTACCAGACAATGCGAGACTTGCCCCGCCTCCTTCAGGTGCTGCGTGCGCTGGTTCTAGGACAGCCTGAGTCTGAAGAAGACCGGGCTGAGTGCCGAGAAGGCCGCAACATCACCAGCACTGGGGCATATTGCACAGTGCTGCTGGAAAGTCAGAAGTTTCCATCCTGCAACCGTTTGTGGGCCAGGAGAAATGAAACGTGGAGTTATATGGAGTCCACCTGGCAGACCAATCTCCTAAGGACCTGGTCTTTCATTGCTACCTTGCTAGGTCACCCTTGCAAAACAGAGCCCCAACAGCCGTATCCCCGTTTGGATGTAGCCCGAGCACACTGGCAAGTTCAATCAACTCGAGGCGAGTTCCACTTATATACAAAGATCTTACAAGTTACTTACAGTATGTTGTGTAGTGTTCATTTTGGAGGTTTATACACTGTAGCCGTCAATCAGCTTAGGTTCAATGAAGAGCTGGCGGAGGGCATTTGCAAAATTGTCGACCCCACTGACACCATAGTAGACCTTGGGGCACGCATCGGGATGTACACGAGATACTTCCGTGAGAGGTCATGCGTCAGACTAGCCTTGGCCTATGACGGAGGAATTGGTGTGCGGGAGATGAGCTCAGGGTTGGTGCAGCATTTGGATCTGACTCAGTTGCACAACATCGGGGTCTTCGACTGGGTCTTGTCGCTGGAAGTCGCTGAACATATTCCGCCGGAGTATGAATCTGTTTACATCGAGAATCTCCACCGGCATAACCGAAAGGGGATCATCATGAGCTGGGCCTTTCCTGGTCAATCAGGAGTGGGACATGTGAATGAACAGCATGCCCCACAGGTGCGGCTGATGTTCAAGGAGCTTGGATATCTCTTTGATCCACGGGCCACACGCCGCCTCCGGAGCACTTGCCATTCCCACCTCTCATACTTTATGAACACCTTGCTGGTCTTCCGGAGGAACACCACATTCCACTGACAATGCGGCAGGGTGAAGTCGTGAAGTCTCGACTCAAAAAGGCATCGTCACATCCAGCGATTGGAACTGCGAACCGGTGCAGGTGGGAGGGTTCCTGAATCAATGCCTCGAGTCCGATGGGCGCAATCAACGGAGGTGTTTTAGACGGAGGTGGAAGTTTGAGCTTACCATCACTTCGACTTTCAACCCATGACAGGGCATGCCTGGAAGGCATTCACTCTTAATTAATGACAGCAAGGAAGGATCCGAGTTTATTGTCATTGGGTGTGTCAATAAAAGTAATCACGAAAGCTAGCACCAGCTAGCTGGAGTTGTCCTTGCTTTAGCAAGTGAGGGGCTGGAATCCTCGGGATCGCCGCATCACGTGAAAACTTCATATGTAGGGGGGCCCCCCCCCCC